TGTAACACAGTTTTCATAAGCCAGCTTTTATTTGAAAAACCAAAATAATTTTTTATAAATGCTAACATGTATTTGGGGATGCAATGGTCTTTGAAAACCAGCGGGTAAGTTGGAGTCAAATTATACCACAAACTTCTTTAATTAGACCTTTAACTTTTCTTACATAGGATGTAAAATATATTATTTCTTGCTTGTTATTACCATAATATAATAATATTGCTTGTTATTATATAATATATTATTTCTTGTTTTATCCTGCTGACATTTTCCATTCTTGCTTTATTTCTAGGATTGACCATTGCAAACTTCTTCCTGTTCTTCCACTAACTGTCTGCTTCAGTTGACAGTGAAATACAATTTCTTACTGATTATCATATTTAAGAATCTCCTTTCTCAAACCACAATGGGCTATCACCTCACGCTTGTTAGGATGGCTATTATAAAAAGACAAAAGATAAAAAGAGTTAGCAAGGATGTGGGAAAAAGAGAACACTTGTACACTGTTAGTGGGAATGTAAATTAGCACGGCCATTATGGAAAACAGTATGGAGGTTCCTCAAAATATTAAAAATAAAACTACCATATGATCCAGTAATCCCAATTCTGGGTATATATCCAAAGGAGATGAAATAAACATGTCAAACAAAGCCTTAGTGTTAATTGCAGAACTATTCATAAAAGCAAGATATAGAATCAAGCTAAGTATCCATCAAAGGATGAATAGAAAAGAAAATGTGGTACATATACACAATGGAATACTATTCAGCCTAAGAAAAAGAAGGACATACTGTCATTTGTGACAACATGGATGAACATAGAGGACATTACACTAAGTGAAATAATCAGGCACAAAAAAACACAAATATTCCACGATCTCACTTATAGGTAGAATCTAAAAAAGTTAAACCATAGAAGTAGAGAATAGAGTGGTAGCTGTCAGGGGTTGAAAGTATGATTGTGCATGGGGAGATGTTGATTAAAAAATACAAAGTTTCATTTAGACAATATGAATAAGTTCTGCAGATCTGTTGTACAGGACGGTGACTACTGTCAATGTATTATACACTTGAACATTGCTAAATTTCTCACCACTAAAAAAATTATGTGAGGTGATAGATATGGTAATTTGTTTGATCTAATCATTTCACTACATATATATGTGTGTGTGTATATATATATATATATTTATATCAAAACATCATGTTGTATACTATAAATACATATAATTTTTATTTGTTAATTATACATTAATAAAGCTGGGGAAGGGGAAAGAGTCCCCTCTCTCAAGAACAGTGATTAAAAGTGAGGGCTATGTGTCTCAGACTGCCTGAGATAGAGTCAGATTCCTTACTTGTATAAAGGGGATATTAACAGGAATATTAACAGTTCTTACCTGAAAGATATAATGTGAGGATTAAATGAGACAAATGATTTAAAATACCTGTATTTAGTAGATTGTTTCATATATAGTAAGTACAAATTTTTTTTACTTCTCAAATATCTTCTGAGAATATTGGAAAAAAACATTTGTGTGATTTTGGATAAACTTGAGTTAAACTCTTTGCTCTTTTCTCAATCATAAAATGAAACGGCTTGACTATATTACTCCAAATGTTTCTCTTAACTATAAAAACTTACATGATTTTATATAGCTATGAATAAGGTTCAGACTTATTTTCTCTCCCTATTTTTCATATGTAATGCCAATTCTTGAGACTAGCTTTGTTTTTGTATTCTTTCCTCTTTGTATCAGAACAACTCATGCTATTTTGAACTCTTTCTGGCATTAGTTATCACAAAATATTTTCCTAATTTCCTACGATAAGCTATTATTAATACATTCACTATCAAACCGCATGGAAGGCCTTAAAACGGTATTGCCTTCTTTTGAACTGATAAGCTTAAAAATGAATTAGATATTAGTCACATATAAAACATGAAATTTTATATTCTATCTAATACAATGATTTTTTAAAAAAACCAAAACTGTTATGTTTCTAGAGAAAGCATACACATACAAAGATTTACTCAAAACTCAAAAGCCCTGGGAAAGTCCATGGTAGTATAGTAACACAATTCACAGTTTAGGACAGTACCTTCTGAAGATAGATAAAATGTATATAATGGTGTAAAGAAGAATTATAGTTTCTAATAAGACATAACTTTAGTAAAAAAGCAAACTGAGGCTTTTTGTATATGTTAACATTCTGCTTTTAATCCATGAGAGATATGCAATGCTTTCTTGGTCACAAGTATTTAGTATAATTAAATTCTTATAGAGCCCATTTAAAAATTGTAAATTAAGTAACACTAGCCTTAGCTAATGCTGATGTTTGATGTAACACTTTAAGTATGTTGTAGTGGAAGTCAGTGATTCAGCCAGGCAAACTATGGCAGATGTAAACTATGGGTTAGGTAAAATTACATTTAAAATCTGTGTATATGCTGAAATATTAACAGATGAAATGATACAACGTCTGGGATTTGCTTCAGAATAATACAGGCGGTATACATGAAACAAGAATAGCCATGAATTCTTAATTATTAAAGCCAGACTGAGGTACTTGCGGGTTCATTTTATTCTGCCAACTCCTCTATATTTGAATCTTTCCATAATAAACAGGTAAAAATAAAGCCACGGTACAGAGAGGCACCAAAACCAGAAGCCATGAAAAAATATGGTAGATTTAATCCCATTCAAATGCTCACCTTATATGGCAAAAATAAAAAACACCAAATAAAAACAAAACATCAAAACAAAATGTAAAAAGACATAATTGATGTATATGATTTATAGACTTGATATTATTAATATGATTCCTGATTCTTATCTATCAAGAAAAAAATCAAAGACCCCAGGAAAAATTTGGGATGGCTCATGAATGGGATATTCATAAAAGAACTTAAAATTCAAATAAAAATATAAAAAAATTCATCTCAGTAGTAACATAAATGAAAATTAAAATGCCATATATTTATATCAGATTTGTTTAAAAATAAAACAGTTAATACCAAATATTGACAAAACAATAGAGAAAGTGGCAATCTCATACTTGCATATACTGTCAGTGAGCATGTAAATTTGTAGAGCCCTTCAATTTATTTACACTTTGATCTACCAATTCCATCTTTAAGAATATACCATAACAGAGAGTAGAATGATGGTTACCAGAGGCTGGGAAGGGTAGCAAGGAGGAGGGGATAAAGTGGGACTTGTTAATGAATGCAACAATATAGTTAGATAGAATGAACAATATATGATAGTACAACAATATGACCATAATCAACAATAAGTTAGGGTATACTTTAAAATAACTAAAAGAGTGAAATTGGAATATTCCTAACACAAAGAAATGCTAAATACCTGAGGTGACGGATATCCCAATTACCCTGATTTGATTCACAATGTATGCCTAGATCAAAACATCACATGTACCCTATAAATATAACTATTAAGTACTCATAATAATTAAAAATTTAAAAATGAAAAAAATACTAGTTTGATAATTAATCAACACTAATGTGCACATATAGGAAGTATCATTCATAGGGTTTCAGGCAGGTGGGAGGGGGAGGAGGGGATGGGTAAATCCACACCTAACAGATGCGGTGTGTGCTGTCTGGGGCATAGGCATGCTTGTCCGGTGGTGCCAAGGCAATTTATGTAACCAAAGTGTGTGTAACCACAATATTCTGAAATAAAAATTAAAAAAAAGAAACAAGGGGGAATATATATATATATATATATATATATATATATATATACTGTAAGTTAGCATTTTCAAAAGTGTTCAGTGGGATGTTGACAGATGTTATTTGTACCTGTATATGTATAAGTCTAAATGTAATTTTAAATGTAAGTTTACACAACGGCATTTATAATTTTTTTCCTCTTTTAAAAATTTTTCATTGTGGGGGGGCGGGTATATACATACATAATGAGTGACATGTGCACCATCTGAGGGATGGTCATGCTGGAAACTCAGACTTGTGGGGGGAGGGGGGGAATGGGCATTTATTGAAATCTTAAAATCTGTACCCCCATAATATGCTGAAATAAAAAAAAAATTTTTTTTCATTACTTTTTCAAAAAATAAATTTTATTTTACAGAGTAGTTTCAGGTTCATGGAAAAACTGAGTGCAAAGTATAGAGAGTCCCGTATACTCCTTGTTTCCGCATTGCCTCCACCATTATCAACAACCTGAAGATAGATGCTATTTTAAGAAAGGATTCTATGGCCAAATAAGTTTGATTCCTAAGACCTTGGTATATGGCACTACTATATACTGGTACATACATCTCTTAAGATAGTTAATAAGTCTTTCCTTATGTTATATGCCTTGGAACCCTTTCATCGGAGAGCATATTTAGGAACTAAGGTTCTGCAACATTTACTTTAAAATTTGTCTTTAAAAAATCATCAGACATGAGTACACATATGTACATACAAGGATGTTCTCTGAGGTCATGTTTACAAAAAAAAAAATTGGAAGTATCCTAAATATTTAATAATAGGAAAATGGTTACATGATTTATGATATGTCCTTATACTGGAATATTATACAACCATTAAAAATGGTGATGTAGATGATAATTACTGACATAAAAAATGCTGCAATAAACTGTTAAGTAACAAAAGCAGAGTATCCAAAGGGCATTTATATCCTATGGTTTCTAGTCATAATTATTATAATTATATAAATGTACATATTACATATAATACACATGTATATCAAGTTCAGAAAGATATACAACAAAATCACAGTTACCTCAAGTTGGTAGTATTAACATTTTTCTGTATTATCTTTTTTAACAGTGAACAGGTATCAATTTTATACTAGAAATATTTTTTAGAGGCAATGTGTTTAAGTATCTTAACTGTTGGAGACATCTGGCATTTTAATCTATAGATGTCAGATATCTTCCATATTTAATCAAAATTAAGCCCACTGACAAGAAAACTATGAAGAACCTACATAGAGAAAACACAATTCCTACCTTCTGGAGAGAAGTGATGAAAACATAACAAATGTTGTGTGGGATCCAGCAGTGTAACAGAGGCAGTAAATCTCCAGATGCTCTATGCCTTTATGAGCCCCTGTAAGGGATTATCTCTGCTCTCTGTAACAGAAATAACATAGGTACCCATATTTATTTAAAGATTGAGTTTCAAAATTATTTATTAATATTATTTGGTATTTTTCCATTTCTAAACAGCAATAAGTCTCTGGTGAAGAACCAGAAAGGATTATGGTACTAGTATCTTTGTATTTCACAATACTATAACTACCTACCAGGAATAACTAAAGCAGATATTATACTTTTTATTATCAGGTTTATTAATATAACCTGAAGAAATATATGTAATAATTTAAAATATATCAATATAAATAGAAATGTAATTTTTGTTTCTGTACTATCTGCTAGACAGTGTGATAGATCCTTTATATTTCATTTAATCTTCCTAACATTTTTTTCATTCAAAATTTATTCGACAATTTTTATTAGGTGCCGAAGCACTGGAAATACACAACCATGATCCAAGGTAGCCATTTACATCCCCACTTTCAAATGTGGTGGTTAAGGCTCTAGGATATGATCCTATATTGCCTAACTTCAAAGGTATTCTATTATAGCCCAATTAAAAAGAGTTTTCCTAGCTCCAAGTCTTACTACCACTGCCCCCACCATTGAAACTCCAAAACTCCAAACCTTTTAAGTTAAAATGGAGAAAATATCAAAGAACAATAACTCATTTAAACGTAGTATGACATGCACATAAAATATCTATATGTAGCCTTTATAATGTGCAGCGTCTCCTAATTTAATCCTCACACAGTCCCATGATACAGGTGTTAACATTCTCATTTTGCAGAAGAGAACACTATGACTTAGACAGATTAGCAGCATAGTCAGCTTAAATCTGGGTCTGCCTAATACTAAGGCTTAAAAATCTCAAAAGGAAGACAAGAAAAAAAATCTTACATATTGAAATGGAGAAAGCAACAAAGTAGGAAGAATAACAACTCATTTAAGCAGTCTGATATATGTGTACACACATAACCCACACAGACAGTCACACACCTGTATGGCTTGTATTGTCATAAATAATCAAGTACCCACCATTGTATGGTAAAATAGTATGGGGGTTGATGGGGGAGGCAACTATTTAGGAAGGAGAAGCCGAATGAAAATTATTCTCAAATGTAGATCATAGTTATACAGGCTGCTTGCTTTCAAGTGGGGTCTCATAGATAAACATGAGGAAATACTTGCTCATTTACTTGCAGTGTGACATTAGGAAAGTTATTAATACTTCTCTCATCTGGGCCACAGTTTCCTTATCTGTAAATGAAGATAACAATAGTACCTAACTAGTAGATTGGTATAAAGATTAACATTCATAAAGTACCTACAGTACCAGGCACAATAGTAAATGCTATATGTGTGTGTCTTCAACCTGGGTAGGGTTAATTATATTAATAGAGCCCTTTCACAGAGAATATTACTGTCAGTCATATCTCATACCTGTTAACATCACAAGTAATCCTCACCTCAACCCTGTGTGAAGTACAGTACTATATGTCAGTATATACAGAGCTGCCTTATTATTTTAAGAGCTTCATTGTATAAAGCTTACATAAAAACATAGAGCAGACAAGAATGCAAGGAGATATAACTACATTCTTTTATATCAAGCTTGTACCATAAAAACATAGAGTATACAAGTATGCAAGAGAATATAATAGATGTTTTCCCATGCAAAGGAAATAAAATACTGGCTGCCAGGCAGGAAACAGCTTGGAGGGGTTGTGTTAGAGGTATCCATGTATACATACAGTACCAAAGATAATGGCCGAGAAAGGTACTTAGGAGGATTTGTCTGAAGATACTTTTGAATCCTAAACATCCCAGTATATTGTGGTAGAGAATCTGAAAAGTTACTGAAGTCTCCACCATAAGAGGGGTGAAAAAGTGGCTAAGCCTGAGGTTGAAGACATAAAGGCGACAAGGATTAGAAGAAAAAGGGTAATGAGTACATTATTTTCACAGCTGGAAGCACAGTAAGGGCCATGGCAGTGGATCCAGTACATGAAATCCAGAGAGCAGGCAAGGGGATCTAGACATAGCTGGATGCTGGCACGGGGTAAGGCCAAAGGCCATGCAGTAGCTCAGCAGAGGCCAGCAAGGACAGAGAAGAGTATGCAAACTTACACATACTGATCATACCTGATGATATATGAGTCTCCCCCAGGAACTTGAGGAAGAAGAGTAGGAGGGAAGAAGAGTAGAAGGGAAGAAAAGAATGGATAGGGGTAGAATCTTAGTTTAAAGCCTAACTTGATTCAATTTTAATTCAGAAATGACCAAGTAAATTCAAATTAATCTGTGGAAATGATGGTGGTGGGGGTGCCAGGAAAAGAGGCTTGTGAGGTAAATCAATTTTAGATATAGGCCAATATTGTTTTACACATTTGAGAACAAACATAGGAAAGAAAGGACAACAAATTTAGAAGACCAGTCTAAGAAGTTCATCATCCAAATAACAAAGAGAACAGAGGAAATGATGAGAAAAAAATAATCAGAGAAATAATTCATGAAAATTTCCCTGGGCTAAAGAGCATGAATTTCTAGATTGAAAGGCCTCATTGAGTGCCTAGCCAAATGAATGAAAACAGGTTTCCAACAAGGCATATCCTAATAAAATTTAAGAACTGTAATATATATAGAAAACCCTAAAAGCTTCCAGAAAGGAAAAGTAGATAAAACCGAAATAGAATATCTTTCAACTTTTCAACACAGGAAGCTAAAATACAATGGAGGGAGGCCATAAAAATTCAGAGACAAAAAATGAATTCCGAACCAGAATTCTATACTCAGCCATAGTAGCACTCAAATCTCAATAAAGACATTTTCAGATAGGCAAGGTCAAATCAAGAAGGAAAAGATATGAAAAACAGGAGATCCAACTCAAAACAGGGAAAAAGGAAGTCTCAAGTTGATAGTGGAAAGCAATCTGAGGGACACAGTTTGCAGATGAATTAAAAACAGGCTTGAAGCACATGAAAAATAAGACAATTATTAATTTTAGGAAAAGCACAGAGTTAGATACAGGATATGGTCCAGTCACAAACTGAGTTTAATAGTTCATATAATGTGTATAATTGAATATTAAACTTATCAAAATCATTATATAACTACATAGAAAAGATGGTGTGTTTGTGATGATGAGGTAGGAGATATAAGATTTAAATCTATAGTTTCCATAATAAGAAATTAATAGATTATCTGTGAAACTGAAAAAAATCAAGAAGTAGAAATATAATCATGTGATTTAGAGATATTCTTTTACACAAATACTAAAAGAAATTACTGAAAAAGAATTGAAAGTAATTGCCTCTGGGAGCTAGAAAATGGTGGAAGGAGGTATAGAGCAGGGGGCTGTTTTTTTATAAGTCTTATAGGACTACTTGATTTTTTAAAATAATTTGCATGTGTAACTTTGTTAAATAAAAACAAAACAAAACAGCATATAATTAATCTTAATGATCTGTGAAAATTTAGTAGATATTTATACATTCTTAAGTGTGCTGCATATGAATTGCAGTATTATACCACTTTATGGGGTAAGTTTCTAGAATATAGGTGTTGTACCAGACAAATACCTGCCACAGAAGCCAGCACATGGCAGGTATCTAAGCATTACTACTATAATCAGTAACAGTGATAAACAAAAACAGGCACTACAATGGGTAAGAGCATGGGCTCTAGACTTCCTAGGTTCACGTCCGGACTCTACTACTTTCTAGTTATATAATCTTGGACAAGATATTAGACCTCTTTTTGCTTAAGCTTCATTACCTATAAAATCCTCATTTCATAGGAATGTTGTGAGTGTTAAATCAGATATGGACAGTGCTTACCACAATGCCTGAGACAGAGTAAGAGGTAAACTAGTTTATTTAGTTAGCTATTTTTATTTAGTATTCACACATTCCTAACTCTGGAGTGTAAGGATCATACCCACTTTGGATTGTAAGGATCGTGAACATCGCACCTTTCCCAAAACACCACCACAGACCTTGGGACACTTTGTTTCCCCACAAATGTCTTGTTCAACAACTTCAGAGATCAGACTCAATTATCACCCTAAAGACAATCACGTTTAATTCACTTCAAAACACAGATCAGAAATAAATGTCATATCTGAAATCAATTCTTTCCTTATCCATCCCTTTTCCTTTAAGGCAACCTAGAGCAGGATTTAAAATCAGAAGACCAAGGTTTGAGTAGCTCATTTAGTCTCTCTGAGTATCCATTTTCTTATGTGTAAAGTGGAGATGGTATTACCTGCTAGAGTGGATGTTTGTTGTTTGTCTTCCCCCCCATTCTTTTCTGCTACTTCTGGTAACTATACATGGATTTTCCTCTGAACAACACACCCCAGCTCTAGAGGGGGGCCTAAATGCCAAAGCCAATCAGTATATCCTCCTCTTCCCCTGTCCACAGTGATGGGTCCAGGGATGGGTAGTTAACTATATTAGGGCCAGTGACAGTCAAAACTGTCAGGGCCACCACGTATGGGGCCAACAATGGAGCTGATACAAAGGGAAAGAGCTCCAGTGTTTCTAAAGGTAAAAATATACTGGGGATATTTTTAAAATATTCATAATTTGTATCCTTGGGATTCTAAGCTCTTGTGATTGATTGATAGATGTATTAGAAGAATGAGGAGAAGTAGTCTAGGTGTTTCTCTAGACAAGTCAGTAGGGATCTGAGTGGGTCTGCTTTCCCAGACCTGTACAACTATGGGACCAATACGAGTAACACAATAATGGCCCTCTCCACATGACTGAACACAATTCAAATGTATACAATAATCTAGAATAATGTAGAGCACTGTTTACCAAATGGTGTTTTATGGAACAATATACCCTTAGAGAAATGCAATGCATGCTTGTAGAATCCAGTTCAATCTGGCATATTTTCCCAAATTATTTTGACCATGTAATCCTTTTGTTATGAAATCTATAAACATTTCAGTTTAGAAAAATATAGTTTCTCTACACTTAAAATGCAAGGTATCACTATGCTTTAACTTAAAATTTGAGTAATTGAGTGGGTTTATTTCAGGCATTATACCATTTTATCACTGCTGGCAACAACTACTAAATGCCCACTAATTTGGTAGCAAACTGAGGATAGGAGATGGCATCATAATGAATAAGAAATTACCAACACTCATTTACTTTCATCTTATACACCCCAACCTACTCTACATGCTTCTCTGCATCTTGAACTCTTACTTAAAAAAAGTATGTGTAAAACATGGTCCTACAAATATAAAACATATAATCTGTTATATAATAAGCATCAAGTAAGTGTTATAGGAATTCGGAGTCCTGAGTGGGTCAGTTAGGCAAAGCTTGTATTAGAATTTGTCTTGTAGCATTAGCACTTTAATAGATAGAAGTGAGCAGAGAAGACATTCTAAGCAGAAAGAAAGGACAATAGCAAAGATACATGGATGGCATACAGTGCAAGACATCTTTAGAAGGCACTGCCTGATACAGAGTTGTGTATGTCGTAAATAATTGTGGATAGGTAGATGAATGGATTTATCAGAGGATTAATGCAGGAAAATAGGAAGTTATAAGGTGCGAAGGTTGAATTGGGACCATATAATTGAGGGTCTTAAAAAAAAGTAAAGTTACCTAAAAGCTATTGTATACAATTGGGCTCTTCAAATAGAATTATGTATACTTATGGGGCACTGAAAGGCCGAGGATAAACATGAAGCATCATCCTGATTCATCTATTCTATTTGAAAATTTGAAGAATTAAGTCAAGTAATTTAAGTGATACCTAATTTAAAACATTTTATTTATTTATTTATTAGAGACAGGGTCTCACTCTGTTGCCTAGGCTGGTTGGAGTGCAATGGTGTGCTCACAGCAGTGAGTAGCTAGGACTACAGGCATGGACCACCATGGCTGGTCAATTTTTTAAAAAATTTTGTAGAGATGGGGTTTTGCTATCTTGGCCAGTATGGTCTGGAAGTCCTGGCCTCCAGTGATCCTCCAGCCTTGGCCGCCCAAAATGTTGGATCACAGGTGTGAGCCATTGTGCCCAGCTTAACACATTATTTTTATATTAAAACAAACAGATGAATTTTGCAGTGGAATGTAAAACTTGTGTGAATTTTTAATTTAAACAAGAGACTTTAAAGAAATGTTGAGTTTGTGGTGAGGTGCTTTCAGCTATGCTGACAGACCCTACTGGGTGCTTATTTACATCCTTTGCTGGCAGTGGATATGCAGAGCCACGAAAAGGATTCAAGCAAGGTAGTAACGGGATTAAATTGATGATTTTCTTATATTAATATAGCAGCATGATACAGGCTGCCCTAAAATAGGGAGAAGATTAGAAATCTATATCCTAGCTAAAAAGAACTATTGAAATAATTCCTTTGACCAAATTTTAGTCAGGCTCCTGAGTCCTTTTTCTAACTAGGCTCCAACTTGGGTTCTGTTCTTAGTCTAGTGACTCTGCTTAAAATAAAACTGAAAATACAAATAAGGTGATGGCTAGCTTTATTTAATAGTTCATGAAATTTCCATGAAAAATTCAAACATACTTGTTAAGAACAAGAGAAATGAATGGATATAAGTGGAATAAAATTTTAAGAATGATCTTTTCAATAATGATCATGTTTTATATAAATCTGCCTAAAACCAGTTTCCCAAATATTTTTGGTAATGTGAAACCTTATAGCTATAAAGTAAGAGATATTTATTGAGTCTCTTTTTTTTTTCTTTTTTTGTTTTTTGCAGAGACAGCATCTCACTATATTACTCAGGCTGGTCTCAAACTCCTGGCCTCAAGTGATCCTTCCACTTGAGCCTCTCAAAATGCTAGGATTATAGGTGTGAACCACCGTGCCCAGCCTTATTAATTATCTAAGTAATTTCTAAGTAAATGAACTACTGAAACATTTATTACTCAACATGAGTTTATGTTTATATACTTTTGGCATCTTATTTTCACACAGAATAGAAGAGCTAAAGATAATCTGGGTCTGTTAAGAAACATGTTCTTTTGCGACAATTCCTCTAGGAATTGTGAGATGGTATATTCATAGAATGCTGGAATGTGATAGACAATTCACAATTTTCTACTTCTAGTTTTCTCTGTAAGAGAAAGGTTACTGATAGTTAAAAATTATAACCATTATATGTAATTAAAACTACTAGAAATAATAAGGGTAAAGGGAAAAAACTTTGCAAAATATGCAAAAAAGATGTGTTTTTAATAAGCAAAAGCTTAAAAGGTATAAAGAATGTGTTTTCATTAAGGGAAAAAGGGAGTAATTTTATACGAAAGTAAGAGGACTGATTGCTCCAGAATGAGAAAGAAGTAAAGGAGTAGGACAAAAACTGAATTGATATAAAACATTTGTAAAAGGTTTGTGGAAAAGAAATTTTGAGTATTTAAGCTACTAAGATTGGATGACTTTATTTATAAGGTTCAAAATTAAAAAACCTCAATAATATACTCATGCAAACCTAGAATTTGGTTTCTCTTTGTTAAAAGGATGTTTTATTGGCTTTATCATGTTTTTAATTACTTAAAAAACCCCTGTGTTCTCAATATTAAGAGACCTAGGTTTGTTTTTGTTTTTACAACTATGTAACTTTCTATGTTGGTCTTTAAAATTTTTTATTGTCACTGGTTAAATGACTAAATATTGTTTCACAATGACCTGTGATCCCATTTATTCAAGTGTTCAACCTTTTGACAAACTTCCCAAAATCAAACCCTATGTGTTTCACCTTGTAAAAGGAGAGATAGATGTTACATTAATTAGGCTTATTTGAAATGTTAAATAACATAGGAAGTATTATCACATGAAAAGTAATATTTAACTTTATATTTGCATGGGTACATGTTATTATATAAATATTCCAGAAACTGCATGAAGTTCATAAAATTTTGTTAATACCCTCATTGTCTGATTATTATTGTTATATTTCACAGAAACAATCAAATTTTCTTGTCAAATGAACTCTTACCAGATCTTTAGAAGCTGATGGATTCATAAAACTGCTAATCAAAAATCAAGCAAAATAAGAATTAATTATATGAGATTGAATAAACTAATTTTTATGAGTTTTTGTTTGAAACATTGCTGGTTCTTTATTCTTTTATCTTCCACATTTAAGGAAACCTTTTACCTCTTTTCTCTTAAGGTATTTATAACGTATAGCAATTTGGT